AAACAAAATGACGTAAATGCCCTCGGGGCTACATAAAAGAAGCAATGCCCTCAGGGGCAAACTAGGAAAATAAAAGAAATAATCTAAAATGCAAATACATCAAAAATAGAGACTCTGGATCGTGGCCGTCGATCTGCGCCTCCGGCGGTGGTACACGTGTCGAAATCTGATGTCCCCATCACAAATCCTGAATTTCTCCTCTCCAATGTGCTGTCCAGAATTCTGGACAAATTCTAAGTGTTGCCATGGGACTCAGAACATAGGAAGCTGCTGTCCAGAGTAACTACAGCAGCAGAAACAGCAGTTCTGCCGTTCCCAAGTCCTCCAGCTTGCTGTCCAGATTCCTGGATTGGTTCCGTAAGCTATTCCAGGGATAGAAGCCTTGATAACTGCTATCCTGAGCCTACAGGTTGCTGTCTACAGATTCCAGAATATGCTAGTTGGCTGCCCTCCACCCAGAAACTGCCAGAATGCTGTCCAAAGGCCACTAGTGAGTTAGAGTTGTTGTCCACTATTGCTCACACATTGAAACGATTACACCGGAGCATAGTACTCTACTTTGGGTAAACTCTACTCCAAACTCTTTTATCTTCTTAGTTTACTTCTCCAACGTGGTTATACTTTCCTATGAGAGGAATCGAAGTTGTCACCAGCCGCAGGATGGGTCCGGGCTCGTGAGTTGAAGTCCCTTGGAGAAGGGCAAAAGAATCACCCGTCAGTCTTCGGAAGAGTCCGAGGCTCGCGGTTTTTATTTTTTTCTCTTTCATTTTTATCTTTGATCTCCTATTTTGCTTTTGTTTTCTTCTTTCTTATCGCTCCCCGCGGCCATTTTCATATTCTTCCTCCTCCCTCAACATCACGGACGAAGCTCCTTATCGAGCTCTCCAAAAGCCGCCGGCCACCATCCACCACCTCATCCCCATTGAACACCTTTCCTAATTTGGGGTGCATGATATTAGGGCTTAATTTGAAATTCAAATTGTTTAAAATTTGAAATTCAAATTTCTTTCCTAGTTTAATCCACCTATTTTGGAAAGTGTTTAATTCCATTCAATTGAAATTTAAATTCAAAATCCAATTTATTGGCTCCCTTTCATAACTCCTAAATTCAAATCCATGGTCATAAATCCCCTCATTAATTGCCCTTTTCACCCTCATTGCCACCGGCCCCCATTGGGAATAATTAGGATTTATTTCCTATTATACCATAGTGTTTGGAAACTAATTTCAAAGTCCCGTAACAGTTTTTCCTCACATCGCAATCCTGACATCTCCTTTTAATTGCTTCCATCAGTTTGATTTATTTCCAAATCACAGAATTCCATTTCCTATACATTAATTTCTCCCTCTTCCTTCCTGTAACTCCCTCATATCTTCCTTAGTTTCCCTACCAATCAACCTGCTTTGATTGGGGGCAATTAAGTTCAGTTTTTCTTCCCAAATCAATTCGCTGAATTTTAGGCGATTGAATTCCTGAATTGAATTCCAGTCAATTCACTCCTACCCGTTAATTCACTGAAATTTTCAGCCCCTGGACTTTATTTCCTATTTTATTTCCCTAACTCATTTCAAGGATTCAGGAAAATAATTCCCCCGACTCCTCTCTACATCCCGCCGCCTCAGTTCTCCCTCTCTCCGATCCTCTCTCCCACTTAATTGTTCAAAAGGAATTATCAACTAAGTTTCCTGCCTTGAAATTGTGCTTTGCTGGACCGTCTCCCTCCTCTTTCTCTCACCGCTACCCCCCTTAATGCAATTTTTTTCTCTGCTTATTAACCGCTAAAACTCCTCTCAGGATTTGTGAGAAAAAGCTGAAAATTTTCAGATTTCCTGAAAAGAAAAATCTGAAACTTTTCAGAATTCCTGAAAGGAATTGTGTCAGAATTTTTTGGAACGATTTACTCTCCCCCAAATGTCTGATTGCTGTCCTGCACCAGAAGAAGGTTGAATTTTAACCAGAATTCCTGTAGGCTGAAATTTCTCAAGGCCTCACCTAGGCTTGCTGTCAGATTTTTGAAGAGGAAATTCTCTCCCTAGCAAAGCCTCCTACCCGTTCTACATCAGAAACTTACCAAAAAAAAGCTAATGTACATGCTCGGTACCACTCAGTACATGCTTGATACCGCTAGGTACAAGCTCGGTACCGCTAGGTACATGCTCGGTACCGCTCAGTACATGCTCCGTACCGCTCAATACATGCTCGGTAACGCTAGGTACATGCTCAGTACCGCTCGATATCTTTTCATAAAAATAACTTACGAAGTTTAAAACAAGTAGAACTTCAAAATTACTCTTACCCTGGCAGGTCGAACCCAGCTAGGGGGCAACGCCCCCTTGGACCCCCGACAGACACCTTATTGTTGTATTCATGTTGTCTTATTATTAAGATATTTTGATTTCACTTCATATCAATTATAATTTCTACGTTGAAGGATAATAGTTCAAATATAGAATATCCATTATGATTTAGGAGGAATATAAATCTTCGTCTTCTATCAAGGAAAACCCCACTTTATATGACATGTGATAATAAGATGTGGGATGTTGTTGAAGATGAGTTTCGAGTGCCTTGATGATATGAGATTATTGGATGTTGCAAATCTTTCTCTAGATGAACCAGAGTTGGAAGCAATGATATTCAATGATGATGATATTGAAGGCCAAAGATCAACCTCTGAATCTAATTATATCATTTCCTCTATTGAGTAGTTGGACCTTTATGTTGTACTAAATGATTTTTTGCTTATATTTTTGTGGTTGTACTAGACATTTTGTACTAAACATCTTTATGTTATAAGGTAAACAAGTTATTATGAAATTGATTTATTATTACTTGTCATTTTTAATATAATGTCATCTTAATTTTTATATATTATATTAAAAAATTATTATGTCGTGTCCACACCGCACCCGTGTCCTATATTTTTAAAAAATGTCGTGTCCGTGTCGACGTGTCCGTGTCGGTGCATCATAGCTTCTAAAACATTTTATATAAATTATTTAGTAACATCCTTAAGTTTTCATTATCTTTTCACCCTCAAATTGATGGTCAAACTAAAGTGCTTAATAGATGTCTTGAAAATCTATTGAGCTGGTTGAAAAGGTCTCAGTGATTGGGATCTGCATCTTACTTTTATTGACTTTGCATGCAATAGCATTAAACGCAAATATATGGGCAAGCCCCATTTGAAATTGTTAAAACCTATAGATCTTGTTCATTTACCACTGCATGTATATTTGATTCCGATGCATCATTTTAACAACATGTATATGATTTACTTGTGGAAGTTTAAAAGCATATTGAAATTCATGGCAATATTTTGATCTTGTGAGTGTTAAGAAAAGCACTCAAGAGTATAATAATGATGATTTTGTCATGATTTGTAGTATTATCAAATGCTTAGTCTAAACCAAATATAACAAACTTCATGCAAGGGCTGTGGTTTTCTCAAAATCAGTAGGAAAATCAATTCTAGTGCTTATATTTTAGATTAATCTCTTAAGATGTTTATTAGTCTTATTTTCAATGTAGATGATATATCGTCTTATCTAGGAAAGTTCAAACCTCGAAATTGTTTACTGATTCTCCTACAGGAGTATTTCTATTACAAGTGCTACTTCAACGCGTCCGTCATATGAGTTCCACTTATCTACTTTAATGTTGAAAGATTCATTTTAGATGAAGAGGTACTTGGAAAAATAATATTATGCATATGCTGCTGATCAAATGGAAGGGAGGATCTCCTATAGATGATACATGGATGGCCAAGAAGGAATTATGAAAGTTACATCATGAACTCCAGAATGACTACTTTTATCTTTGTCTCTATGGAGGAGTGTTCTTTACACCAGGGGCAGTTGTTGTAGTTCACTCCTTCAAACTGGCCAAAATAGTCCGCAAATCTAACTGGTCATAAATCAATCGCTATAAATCAAATCAAGCTAAAATATATTTGTACTGAGCCTATTATCAAGTTTTTTAGGCCTGTTTATATTTATGGCCGAATTTCTTCTAGTTTTAAAATTTCAATTATTTTATTAAGTATTATCTTCTCTTAGTCTAAAATAAATTTAAATTTAAAGTTTGTTGAACTGGAAATTATTAGCATTTGATGTTTGCCTTATCCGATAGCTCTTTTTTTTATAAATGGGATCCATGCTAGTAGTTAGATTACTAATATTGTATGATTAAAATTATTGTGGCCAATTGAGTTATTGTTAGATCCAATTTTGAGTACACATGAATCGTCTAAAAATATGTGTGAAGTTTGTTCCTTTCCTCTGCACCAAAAAAATGTTGAAAATCAAATAGAAAAGATGATGATGAATTGGTTTGTATGCATCACACTTCTAAGAAGATAATTGACTTCAAATCCAAGGAAAAAAACTCATTCATCTACATAACATGTTTAAAAAATTAATCAATTTTCTCTAACCACCTAAAGAATAAATAACAAAAACATTCATGTCCTGACAACAAGATATGCTATCCTTTTGAAAGAAAATGGATAGATCTAAGGTTACATGGATAGAAGTTGTTCAAAATTATTTGACAAGAATGTTTTGCACGTCAGACAGCATTAAAAAAGAATGAATGAAAAATGAGATGTCATAATGGTGACCCTGATGCTAATGAAGGTATTACATCCTAAGTCTTCGAGTTCACCGAAGGTTAATCAAAGCATATTTCTTAAATATAAGTATGTTTTCTTATTAGATGTTAGAGGCTTAGGGTTGGTGTCTTTTATACCTTCTCAATTATAAATATTTTGAGTGTTTAGCAAATGACTGTGGATCCCAATGTCTTGCACATCAAACATTTCTTGCTGAAAGCCTTGAATCTATTGGAGCAGTCACCAATTTCTGTACATGCACCCGTGTTACTTGCTTACCATTTTTCCTGTCGATTCTGTAAATTTTATGGTTTGTTTCGTATTGAAACTTTGGAGACATTTAGTTTATAAAAAGGATTCTGTTTAAGAGAATTCTAAATTGAACAGGTCAATATTTCTTTGTGGCCTCGTTTCAAGATGATCTTTGACCTGCATCTCAATAGTTTGCGCTATGCCAATGGGAAGACCTTATGGGAAGATGATGTTCATCCTCATTATGTTATGAGGCGCTATGCTGAATTCACGGCCTCCCTTGTTCACCTAAATGTTGAATATGGAGACGGTCAGGTAGATTGGATATGATTTGATCCATGATACACATTCTTTTATTCACTTTCTGATAAAAATCTAGCGTTCATAGCGTGGATTGCTAAAGTTTATGACCCTTTGAGTGACTATAGCTGCTAAGCTTATTTTTTTTTATTGATATGCCATCAATGATTTAGAACGTCTTTACTTGTTCCTTGAAGCTTGATCTTAACCTGGAAAGGCTGCGGATGGCAGTGGAGGATTTGCTTGTTAAGTTGGCTAAAATGTTTGCTAAGCCAAAATTGCAAACTATTTTTCTCATAAACAACTATGATATGACAATTTCCATATTGAAGGTAAAACAAGTGCTTAATTTAGTGGCGAGTCTTCTTTCTTTTGATGACTGCATTAGCACAAAGCAGCTTTTTAAATTTTGCTGAAATTTGTTATAGGAAGCTGGTGCTGAGGGAGGGAAAATGCAAATGCATTTTGAGGACCTACTAAAGAGCAACATAGCTGTATATGTGGTATTTTTTTTTCCTTAAATGCTTAGTGTGTTGATTTGCTCATTGAGTTATGTATATACAAGTTAAATTTTTAAAACTGTAGAAAAATTAACATAGCAGGATTTATTGTTTCAAATAGTAGTTGCTTGCTGCTTTTTCCTCCATGGAGTGTTTTTTTTATTAGGTAAATTACTGAAACATGATCTTGATGTTTACAGAGAGGAGCTTTCATTTTTTGGTAGTTATAAAATTTTTGCCCGATTTTAGTAAACTTTAATAGCTTCAACTATCCTTGAATTTTCTTGTTGACCCAATCGATAGGAGCATTTCTTAGCCATATTTAGGATAATTATGGTTGAGATGAAAACTAAAAAAAATTAGAAGTTTGAAAGTGTAATTTCCATGTTGCTATCCATTTAAAGAGTCTTCACCAATATGGAGTCGGCTTCCATGTCAGACAAATAAAATAAGTAGGCCAATGAGTACCTTCCAAACCACATGAAGAGTTGAGCTATTATGGTAGCAATCTCTTGATAAGCTAAACTGACTAGGATGTGGTGCTTAGAGCAGTTTTCCTCTTCTATTGTAGAACAAGTCTCTAGCCAAAGATCATGAATCATCATCACTAGCCTTGGTTTTATAAATCATCTACATTTTTTCTTTACTTTAGCATGACATGCTAAACTTAGTTGGGACAAATTGTTTTGCATAATTTGTAACAAAATTATCCTTGGTCCACCACTCAATAGATACTACTCCAATTGGCCCCTAAAATAATCATTTTTCAATGTATTATTCTAAGTTTTATGAAGCATCCACTTCAACACTCGAATTGCCGCAACATTACTGGTCTAATTATAATTTTATAAAATTTACCTTTAAGGCTTGCAGTATTCTCTTATTGTACATTACTCTTGATATGCTTATTATTTGAGCAACAAGCTTTAACCCTGAATAGTGACCCCATAGGTATGCAAACCAGGGTTCATGCAAATCTAGTGTCCTAGAATAGTAACCGCTTGCTTTAACCAAGACCACAATTTTCCTTCCCAATTTCATGCAAACTACCCCAGTGCCGCATAATCAGGAAATCACAAGAATTAGATAAGATTTCATTCCAATCAAAACCCTTCAAATTTTATAGCAGTTGAGAGTTCCGGATAATTCCAATACTCATTGCCAAAGCAGCCATGTAGACTAACACCTTATGTCTCCAATGGACCCAAAAGCCATCAATTCCTTGTCTCTCCAATTTAAATAACCCAAAATAGAACTAACCTAAACATAATCAAGAAAAGAAGCATGCTAATCTATGGAGTTTTTTTTTTTTTTTTCCTACACCATCACTGGCATGTTCTCAATATATAAATAACAAAATGAATCAATTACTGAAAAAGAAAATAAACAAATTGTACAGAAATCAATGCCTGATGCAATTCTTTTGACGATAATAAAGATTTCCATCATTAAACGCTTCCATAACCAATACAAGATATACAAACTTAATTCTAATTGTTGATGATTGGTGAAATACAGCCTCAACATATGTTGACTCCCTCAAAATGAAATCTTAGCCCTATAAAAGCTGGTGCTTTATCCTGTCTTTGCCTTGACAATCCCTGTTTCTTAAAATCAATATGATGTAGAACGGGTATGAGGATTGAGTCCTATGGGTCTAGAAGAGCAACTCATGAGGTCTAAACAGCAGCTTTTGACACTTGGGAAATTCTGGACAGCGACCTCTAACTCTTGTGTAGACCCTGGGTAGTTGACATAGGCTGCTGGCATCCTTTCAACAGCAATTTCAGACTTCCAACGGTGCAGGACAGCAGGTTTCACTATTCAAACAGCAGTTTTGGAGCCTTCAAGTGCTTAGGATGCAAGGCCAATGGCTGAGATTTCGGCTGCAGTCTTAGGGAGTAGGAGAATCCATGATTTGTGGAGTTTTGGAGAGGTTTAGTGTAGGAAATCCAGCGGGAAAACCTTGGAGAATTTCAGCCAGTAGGGGGAGACGGGAAAGGGTCTAATTCTTAAAATAGAGTATTGAATTTTTGTAAGATTTTAAGAGGTGGATGTATAGGGGAAATTTAAGCAGAGGAGAACCTGAGATTTAATTCCACTTGGGGAGAGTTATTTTGGAAAGGTTTATGATGTGGGGAACCAGAAGAATTTCAGCCAAAAGAAAAGGAAGAGTTTTGAATTGTTTCCAAAAGGGTGTAGTGATTTCAAGAAACAATTTCAAAGGAGATCTCTATGGGGCCGGCAGCAGAGGGAGTATGAGGAGGGAATTGTGGAGGCATTCAATGCTTTATTAAATTAAGAAATTAAATTTGGAATGAAAGATTGCATCCAATTTAATTTGAATTTAAATAAGCTATGAATTAGGAAGTTACAAAAAATAAGAGTATATTTTAGGTAACTATTTTAAATTCAAATGGATTTGAATTTATTCATGAATTGAGTTACCTAAAATATGGAATGCTAATTTAGGAAAGGTTTAATGGCCAGTTGAGTGGGGCCGGTAGTTTAGCCAAGTATGGCCAGTGGCTAGGGGTGAGAGGGAGGGAATTAAGGAGGCTTTAATGCTTCCTTAATTTTGGGGGTTGGATTTAGAATGAAATAAGTCATCCTAATTAATTCAAAATTCAATGGAGGGAAAATTTGAAAACTTTCCTAAAATAGATTTTATAATTTATGAAAGAATTTGAATTTCAAATTTGGGGAAATTTGAATTCAAAGACCAACTAAATTATGACAATCCAAAATTAGGAATTATCCAAATTAGGCAATGGGGAATGGGAGAGGGTGTGGCCAGTGGTTTGAATGGGGCGGGTAAGGGACCGGCGGTAAGGTGGAGATGGAGACGACGTGATGGTGGAAGTTAGGGGGAGGATGAAGATGACGACTAGGAACAACAAGAAGGAACATAAATAAAAACAAAAGATAAAAGATAAAATTGCGAGCCTTGGACTCTTCCAAAGATTGACGGGTGATACGTTGTCCTCCTCTAAGGGACTTCTCAAGCCACGAGACCGAATCCATCCTGCGGCTGGTGGAAACTCTGACTCCCTCACATAGGGATTTTACTAATGTTTTTCCCAAAGAATACAAGTGCAAAACACAAATTTTTTTATTATAATTCCATCATACCTAATACAAAAGAAGGGGTCTCGATATATAGGGCCTCAAAAGAAATTAAAAAACACATTTGCCTCTTAGGCTTACATAAGACAAGAGGGTAAAAAGGAAAAGTGCAAAATTAAATTAAAATACGCTTAATAAACTAAAATAAACAAAGTGATCTTGGTCGTCGATCTTCGACTCTTCCTATGAATATCGTCCACCGTCGGATGTCTACATCATCATAAGACCTACCTAATAAAAAAAATTCTTCGGGCCACCTCTAATAGAGGCCATAAGACCTACTAATAGGGCTACTTTCAAATGAAAGTTGTAAGTCCATTCCCAAATCAAATCACACGGGCAACTCCTACTTGGAGCCGTAAGCCCTAAACTAAACAAATTAAATTGCGACTTCTAAGGAAGCCATAAGCCCCAACCCAAACTAAACTAAACTAAAATTCACATATCTCCTCTTCAGTCTACTCGGGATCCTTGAGAGGAGGCAACCCATGATTGTTAATCAGATTCTATGAACACTACAATCAATAGTTGTTAGTGTTGGTAGACTGAACCCACGGTATGCCCGGTATGACGGAACCATGGGATCTTGATCGGGTGTACCTTCATCCCCCATAACTAAATTTAAATCTCTGTTGCACATTCTTACACTTATTGCACGAAGCTAAGTATATTTCATCCTTAATCGAGAGTACTGTTCTAATGCATTAGGAGATGTGATTAACTATGAGGTCCGGAAAAATTAAAGAGAACCCATAAGTTCATGAGAGCGAGATTCACATCTTAATCTTGAGATTTTTCTGGAGCCATCATACCTTTAGCTCAACTATTTGATTTTTTAAAAGCATTCGGAGGTTTTGTCAACCCCCTCAGCCTTTTGGTATTATATAGGTGAAATTTTGTTATTTTGTGCATATTTCATTTGGATGGCCTCCGACAACCATGGGGTTGCAATGCTAGCTCCTTCTAACCAGCTTTTACCTTCAATCAAATTGAATTTGCTGTTTGTTTTTGTTGCTGCTGGCTTTCCCCAGGACTATATTTATTAATGTGCACTGAACTGGATACATTTTCTATTTGCTTGACGATAATATGCCTACTACTTGCTGATTGCTGACTGACATATTCATCATCCGGCTGTTGTTCTTAAAGTTTCGAAGGCCTCTGACAAATATGGGGGCTTTGCTTGGAGAAATTATTCTGTGCGGAGGCCGGACGCAGAATGCTGTCCGGAGACCAATCAGAATGCGCCACGTCAGCGGTACCAAGCCATAGTACCGAGCGAAGGGGTGATGTGGCGCATTTTGGCTGGTCTCTGAACGACGTTCGGCGTCCACACATAATAATCCGCCCTTTGCTTGGGGTTTCAATTATGACATTCATTATATTTTGGCCATTCATTAATGATGCTAGAATGTTTTTTGTTGTTCTTACCGTTTGGATGCCCTCTGACAAATATGGGGGCTTTACTTGGGAGTTCACTTATGACATTCATATTTTGGCCAATCATTATTGATACTAGAATGTTTTTTTTTTTGTTATAGAGATTTATCTTTTAATTTTCTTCTATATATTTTTTTTACTTTTCTTTTTGTCTGTTTTAGAACTATTTGCTCACATACATGGAAGCTAAATTCCTCTTGATTAGTCAAAATGGCTCACCCTTAAATTTCCACAAGAAAAATAATGTTTGGGATTGTTGGACAAAATGGCACTTTTTACCCTTGCTCTTTTTTTTGAGACATTTAGGCCAATTAAGGCAAACTCACGCATACACAAAGACTCGAACCCAGGACATCTTAGTTGAAGCATAAGCTCTCAACTAATAGGCCAAGGTGAGCTGTGTTTTACCCTTGCTCTTAATCATCAATAAATACCAACTAAAGGACAAAACAGTAATTTTGCATAATAAAAAAAATATAGTTGGAATGGACAGGAAAACACTATAATAGTTATTCATATATATTGGGAGAAATTATTATGTGCGGAGATCGGAAGTAGAACGTGCGGAAACTAATCAGAATGTGCAACGTCAATGGTACTGAGCTACAATACCTAGCAATATCGAGATGCGGTACCGAGTAAAGGGGTGATGTCGCGCATTATGGTTGGTCTCCGGACGACATTCGACGTCCACACAGAATAATTAATCATATACCAGACACAAGATTCGTGTTGATTTATTAAATTATTTTCATGAATAAGTCGTTATTAGCAACATTATTGATATCACACGAGATATGAGGACTGGCTGTTGAGCGCAGGGTAGAAAAAGAGAAATTATTCTTTGCGGAGTCTGAATGGGAAGTTCCCGTCCGGATTATAAGTGTACACAATGTATTTAAACAATATGTATACAGTTTAAACTAAATTATATATAAAAATTATACGCAATATGTACACTTAGGTTGTTTTAAATATTATATCGTGTTCTTTAGTTGTCAATAGGCTTATTAGCATTTAGTGAGAGGTATAAATTATAAATAACCTTGATTGGAAAGAGTTGCCGTATTTAATCGGCATGATGATTGCAATGTTAATTCACTATTTTCTTCTTTTAATGTGGCATTCAAAGATAAAGACTTTAATTGAATTGATAATTTTTAGCACATTGATGAAGATAAGAACAATTGTGGGGAATTTTCAGGTTTTATGTTACATTTAGATGAGTTTCATGCGCACCATATCTAAATTCCTTATCTTCAATTATATATATATATATATATATATTGCTAAAAGCATAGACAAGAACACAGGAAACAAACATAGTGACATGATAGATCATAGATCTTGTAAACGGGGACAACATAGTAAGGATAGGACAATTATTTATTTGCAGTGCACACATGCATTAAAACTATTCAATAAAATGCATGTGAGAGTGTAAAATTTCTGCAACTGTTCATATTTAGGTTTAAATATAAGAAATTATTGAATTCATACCTGAGGTGTGTCTATGAAGTGCGAAAGAGAAATTAAGGCGATCATTGATACTTAAAAGGGCATATGGAAGCCATTTGAATTTCAAATTCAAATGGATTTAATTAAAGAACCTTCCTGAAATAGATTTGATAAATTAGAAAAGATTTTGAATTTCAAATCAATTAAATTTGAGTTTCAAATCTATCCAAATTCACCTCAATCTAATTTGGGGAAAGAAAGGGGTGGGGACCATGTGGAGGCCGGCGGCATCCAAAGAGGGAAGGGATTTGAGAGAAAACCATTACTCTTCCTTGATTTGAAAAATCAAATTAGGAAGGAATGACTTTCAATCCAATTCAATTCAAAATTCAAATTGAACGTAATTTAGGAACTTTCCAAAAATAGATCTCTTAAATTAGGAAAGGAATTTCAAATTCAAAATGCTTTGACATTTGAAATTAAACCTTTCTAAACTAAGAGGAAAATATTATGGCAAGAATTCAAGATGTGATTTGTGTTTTGGAGGGAGGAGGAGAATGATGAGGCCGGCGGCTAGGGGTGAGAGGGAGGGAATTAAGGAGGCTTTAATGCTTCCTTAATTTTGGGGGTTGGATTTAGAATGAAATAAGTTATCCTAATTAATTCAAAATTCAATGAAGGGAAAATTTGAAAACTTTCATAAAATAGATTTTATAATTTATGAAAGAATTTGAATTTCAAATTTGGGGAAATTTGAATTCAAAGACCAACTAAATTATGGTAATCCAAAATTAGGAATTATCCAAATTAGGCAATGGGGAATGGGAGAGGGTGTGGCCGGCGGTTTGAATGGGGCGGGTAAGGGGCCGGCGGCAAGGTGGAGATGGAGACGACGTGATGGTGGAAGTAGGGAGATGATGAAGATGACGACTAAGAATAACAAGAAGGAACAAAAAACAAAACAAAAGATAAAAGATAAAACCGCGTGCCTTGGACTCTTCCAAAGACTGACGGGTGCTACGTTGCCCTCCTCCAAGGGACATCAAGCCACGAGCCCGGACGCATTCTGCGGCTGGTGGAAACTCCGACTCCCTCCCATAGGGATTTCACTAATGTTCTTCCCAAATAATATAAGTGCAAAACACAAAATTTTTTTTATTATAATTCCATCATTACATTACACAAGCAAGGGTCTCTATATATAGGCCTAAGAAACTAAAACAAGACATATATGCCCCTAGGGCTTACATAGGACGACCCTCTTAAGTTAGGGTAAAAATAGAAAATTCATAATAAATATAAAAATTACAAATAACAAAATAAGATAAGGTGGAATGATCTCGGCAGTCGATCGTCGTTTCCTCCTTTGAAAATCTTCATGATCGGATGTCCGCATCACAATATTTGTATGCCGATGTATCAATAGTTTGTGACATCTGATGAGCTTTCCTTTCAGAACATCCTCTCTTACATGTCAAACCACATCGTGTTTTCTTCTTGTTTTATCTATTTTCTTTGATTAGAAGGAACAACTGAAACAATGTAATTTTCTCCATAACATTCCAGTAAAATGCATATACTAGTCATGGAAACATGTGCTGATGTTTGTTCTGGTATATTCTTTCTTTTAAGAGATAGCAATGTCAAAAGACCAGGAAAAAAAAACCTACACAGACATACTAAAGACATCGAACTCTCTTGCAGGGTTCATTCATTTCCTTCTGTTAAAAAGATGATTTAGATATTGGTTGGGAAGTTGCGCCAGGGATTTGAACACTCAGAATAAGTTCTATGTTAATGCTATGTTAAATTCATTCAGAGAGTATGATAGGAAATACTTGAGTTCGGAACTAACCCTAAGGGTAATACTTGAGTTCGCAAGCAAACCTATCACCAATTGGTGCAAACAGCAAGAATAGCACAAAATCTGGGATAAATCAGCACAAATAATAGATTACAATACGAAAGTCAAAGACATACAAGCACGGAAATAAGATACAAGTGATCCTCAATTCGAGAGGAGGATCCTCTCTCCCAAATCTCTAGACAAAAGTGTCTAGAGCCCAAATCGCCAAAGAACCCTAATAGAGAACAAAACAAAACATAACATCCTCCGAAAACATCTCATGCTCTTAAATACATAAACTTTCCTAATCTAATTTCCCTCCCAAGCCCTAACCGCCCCCTCCTTTGCAATTTGAATTCAATTTGGACTAGTGGGGCCCACTAATGTGGGCGGCAAGAAGGGAGGGAGGCAGACAAGTGCCGCCTCCTATAGTCCTGAGCCAGCTCCTTTTTCTTTTATTTTCTCCGTTACCAATCATTGCATGTTATGATCATCGGTTGGAGGAACGGTTCAAGCGAAGAAGTCCTCATCTTAATGTGGTGGATGGGTTTCTTTCATGAGAAACGAGTTAGGAATTGAAGTCTCAAGACCGAACTTGTAGCTTATTAAACTGCTTGCTTACTCCTTTTAAAAGCTAGTTTGGTTTTGTAAACATTTTTCTCACTATTATCAGTAGAAATGTGATGCATTTGAGATAAGCTGATCAGGTTCAACCGTTTGTCATAAACAGGAAGAATTACTTCAGGAGCATTTCGGTGAAATGATCAAGTTTGTCAAAACCCGGGCCTGTAAGTTTAGTAATCTGTATATAGTACGCTTTTATAAAGATCATATATTGATTTATTCAACACCATTACCACATCAGACGAAGAATCAAGCTCTAGCATGGAAAAATCATCTGTTTCTGATGTGGAACCTTTAGTGAAGGACTTTGCGAGCAGGTGGAAGAATGCAATAGAGCTTATGCACAGGGATGTTATTACATCCTTCAGCAACTTCCTGTGTGGAATGGAGATACTGAAAGCTGCTTTGACACAACTGCTTCTGTATTATACAAGGCTTTCAGAAAACGTCAAGAAAATCACAGGTGGCTCAGCTCTTAACAAGGACCTGGTATCAATTTCCTCCATTTTGTATGAAATCAAGAAATATTCTAGAACATTCTAGATCTTGCAAAATCCTCAATGAAAGGTTCAGGTGAGTAGATGAAAACCCGAGGCTTTCCATTTTGAATAGCTATCTTGTTTCTTCATCAATCTTTACTTGCAAAATATAGTTCTATTGATAGCTCAAGCCTGCATCTGTTCAGTACTATAACCTTTTATCTTGTTATTTTATCTGCTTTTTTGAGAAGAGAATGTTGTGTTTGTTTTTGCTTATAGCACTATACTTTGTCTTAGCGGCAGAAAAAATTTATTCGGTTAAAATTATATTATGTAGTGTATGATTTTATTTGATCGTTTGTGAAAATATAAATGTTAGCATATATGTTATATAAAGTTTGGATTTGGTAGAATATCTAAGGCATAATGATACAAGTAGAGGATGGTAGCTGATGTTCAACTTAGAAGAAGAAAAACTTGTAGAAATTATTCTGTGTAGAGACCGGATTGTAAGAACCATCCGTATTATTGTGTATTTACTGAGTATTTATAAATACCAAGTAAATCAACAAATATTCAGCAAATACTTGATGAATATTAATAAAATACTCGCAAGATATATAGTAATGCTCACAATTGAGTATTTATAAATACACAGTAAATATTCAATAAATACGTAGTAAATTTGGACGGTTCTTCCCATCCGGATTTCACATGTAATAATTTCTTCATTATCTTGAGGGCATCTTTCTTCAATAACCAACCAGATTAATCAACCTCGTTTGGTTTCTTGATGCTATTAGGATTTTTTATCTTGAAAGCATCATAACCTGATGATGATGAATAGCAAATCAACCTCTCTTATATTGATAATTTTGTACTGATTTATTCAACCATTTTAAGGGGAACAAAAATCTGATAAATGAAAATTTAATTACCTATCAATGTGTAATAATTATTAGATATGTTTGATGTTAGCTGATAATTATCTAATGTAATCCTTCATTTTTTGTACTTAGAGCTTGAGACTTGACAGTGATGGGGTTATATGTATTTGATTACTTATATACATGTGGATATAATTTTAAAAAATATGATTTAATGATTTAAATAAAATTATTAAAAAGTTCATTAATTTATTAGCACTTAATAAAGCACTCAATAGGATAAAATGGAGAGAGAGAGAGAGAGAGAGAGAGAGAGAGAGAGAGAGAGAGAGAGAGAGAGAGGACATTTGTAGCACAAAGCAAACATTAGGAAGTCGCTTCATATATTTTGATATAATGTATATTAAGATGTGATTATTTTTATGACATTTTTTAAATTTTATTAATCGTGTATTAACTCTTAATATAATACTTTTTTACATAATAATATTAAATTATCAGATATTTATTAACATAATTATTAAAAAGAAAATATTAAATGACAAATAATTTAATTATATTATTTACTAATTTAACTATATTATCTAATAATTTTATTATATTGAGGGACAACAATTAAGAAAATAATCGAATTATGATACCAAATATAATATAATATTTTGATACATATATATATATATATAAATTAAATCATGACTCCACCTTCAATTATTTTATTTAATGAATAATTGCTACAATACACATGTATTCAATATTAAATTAATAATAAAATAAATTTATTTGGCATTAGAATCTCTAATCAACTGAGATCGCATTCTGATTTCAATTAAAGCTCTATTTTGAAAATCTCCAGCAGTAACCGACAAATGCCATTCACAGCCTACCTACATAAAACGTGCTACAGTTGCTTGCCGGTAGATTGACCCTCCACCACCAACACCAATATTTGCTGTCTGTTTCTAGGCCAATTGGTAGAGAACTTTGGCCACTTCTAAAAAAAATCTTGAATTTATGTTTCATATATACTATCAATCTCTAAAATCATAATTATTGCATATTTAGGTTTCGTTTGGGATAGCTCTGAAGCATTTTTTTAGTATAAAATTTTTTAATTCAATAAAATTCTGCACTTGAAAGCTGATTTAGAAAGTAGTAAGAAAACTGTCCCAAACAAAATCTTATATTCGTTTGCATTACGCTATCATAAGAGCCTGAATCCGATTCAATATGCCGTCAGTCATGAACCAGCTCGATGCATGCCAAGTCTCTAATAGTTTATGAGGACACATTAGCTTACCTATTCCTTATAGCTAGTTAGAGAAATATGCAACTCATCTAGAGTACTTGTTGAGGTAGTTTTTTTAGTATAAAAAAATATGTACTAAAAAGATTTTTTAAGAAGTAATAAAAAAATTATCATAAATAAAACCTTAAATTTATTTTTAGCTATGAGTGCTTATAATTATGACATTATTTACTTCTTCCTAATTTATTCTGCTACTCATCCTGCATTAATTTCTAACTACTAAAAATTGTGAAAGTTCTTAGATTATAATTGCACTTTTAAATGCAGCTTTATATTTATACTGTGTAACACTACATTGAGTTCTATTTCAATATTATTTTTAACATATTTTTTTACAGTAAATGAAATAAGGCTCTGCTCCTAATTAGTAAAAAAAAATGTAAAAGTTTACAAGCACATGTGGCACTCAAGGATCAAAAAGAGTCAGTCCATCAGAAAATTATAGACAGAATCACAAAAAGCTCAAATGAAATCTGCTAAATAGTTTTCAAAGAGTTCTGAATATTTGTTGTATATATTTGTCAATGTCTGTGGATTATAATTTTTTTTTTTTTTTGGACATTTAGGCCATTCAAGACAAACTCCTACACACAACGCATACACATAGACTCGAATTCTGAACCTCTTAGTTGGAAATCTAAGCTCTCAACCAATAGATCAAGGAGAGTTGTGTGGATTATAAATTTTCAAAATGGTAAGGGTGATATTGCTTACTCATTAAATGCTAATAATTACAGAAAACAATGGAGTACAATTATGCACTTCAATCATGCTCAAACCACTTATTGGTAGCAGTGTCTTGCACAGTCAACATCCCATATTCTATTCAGAAATCACTTTCACTAAAGTGATTTGACTCACCGATGCTTAATTTGGTTGGTGGACTATTCCAGGTTGGGGATTCCTCTCGAATGACAGCGCCTCTTAAATGGGGTCCAATTAAGTGCGGGCCATGAAATTTTTGATGTGGGTGCCCTTTTTAGGTGAGCCGAGATTAATCATGCCGCCAAACACACTTTCAGAAATGGCAGCAAATGTATACCCCATTCACAAAAAAAAATACTAAAGCGATTTGCTTGCAATTGTCACAAGTTTTCACCTGAACGTCAAATAAGAACATATTTTATATTTTCTCTCCGCTCACAACATCATTATTAGTGTCGCACTATTCAAAATATAAAAATGATATTCAATTTGACATTCTTCATTTGGACAATTGCTATTACTGTAAACCAAAAAATACTCTTCAGTTGGAGATGGTCTTAAGATCTTTGAGGATGACTATAATTATTTATAAAAGTAATTATCAATTTATTATGAAAAAAATAATTTTGAAAGCTATTTTAAGTATTACAATTTATTTTCTTAAAAAAAAAAATTCAATAGCAAATTTCTTATTACAATCACAGTAACTTGTAAGTGGTCATCACTCATCAGGGGCAATAATATGCCGTTCTTCCCGGAAATGCAATCCGAAAGATGAGCCAAAAGAAAACTGTTGCAAGAGACTCCTTTTAATATAAAGCAGCAAGTCCCATCCTCTTTGAGATCAATCCAAAACAAATAATACAACTGGTGCCACCAAATTAAAGTATAGAGAGCATAACTAATCCGAAAGATACTAACACCGAGGGACAAATTTGAATCCATCAAAAAATATTCTGCAAATATATTATACATAGATTTTGAAGAAGAATTTGATTTTCTGAAGATGTAACATGAAAACAATTTCCTTTAACTAACACTATAAGATACCGATATATGTTACAAGATTGAGAAAGAACCAATACCAGGAGTAAAAATCAGCCAAGATTGAAAATTTGTAACAGAAGATTGAGTATGGGAAGTTACTCTCTTTCAGAGTCATATTCAGATTCAGAAGTGATATTGGCAAGAGCGGCAGTCCCAAACTTGAGTTGCTGCAATCCAGGCTTAAGCTCCTTGTTACAAAATTCCTCATATTCCCCTCTGTCACCTGCTTTCTTCTTAATATCAACCAACACAAGTGTCGGAGTAAGCTCAAATATCTCCACAGCTATGGTAAGTGGCCCCTTCTCCCCCTCCCTTGTCCCTTCCAAGCTCACCCTGCAATCCCTTTTCCTTACTGTGAATTTCACCACTTTGGCAATCTCCTCCAACTTCGATATGATATTGGAAACTGGCTCGCTAGAAAGAAATCTCGTCTCCTCTCCTCTCTCCTCAAACAATCCAGAAAGATCAAAACCTTGAGAGAATGATATGATGTCAAAGGCATTCAGGCTCGCTGGCCTGGGCAACCCAAGCTTCCGCTTTTCCGAGAATGTGATTTCAGGGCATGAAGCCACAGATGAATCGGACTCGCAGCCGGAATCCGACGCATCATCGTGTGGCACTTGTGGCGGTTCGTCCAGGCTGTGGACTTCGTCGTTCTCAACATAGAATCGGACATGGCGGAAACCCTTTTTAAACCAACGATTCTCCATTATCTCAGGAATTGTAATTCGAGTCTGGGGATTGGTGTCCAATAGCCGCGAGAGAAGCTTAGTGAGATCGGAAGAGAACCATCTAGGGCATCGGAATTCCCCTTTGTAGATCTTTCGATACATCGCCATGACGTTCTGGTCGTGGAATGGAAGATAACCGGCCATGAGCACGAATAGGATGACACCGCAAGACCAAACATCGACCTTAGCGCCATCGTATCCCTTCCTCGAAAGCACCTCCGGCGCGACGTAAGCCGGCGTTCCGCAAAACGTGTGGAAGAGTCCGTCCTGCCGCATCTGTTCGGAAACCGCGCTGAGCCCAAAATCAGATACTTTGAGATCTCCTTTGTCGTCAAGGAGCAGATTCTCCGGTTTGAGATCGCGGTGGAAAACGCCTCGTGCGTGGCAGAATCCCACGGCGGAGATCAGCTGCTGGAAATACCTTCTTGCCGTATCCTCCTTGAGCCGGCCCTTGGCAACCTTACCAAAGAGCTCGCCGCCTCGGACATACTCCATGACGAAGTAGATTTTGGTCTTGGTAGCCATAACCTCGAAAAGCTGGACGATGTAAGGGTGCCGGACACGGCGAAGGATAGCGATCTCGCGCTTGATGTGAGCGACGAGGCCGCTTTTGAGGATGCGCTCCTTGTCGAGGACCTTAATGGCGACGGACTCACCCGTGTTGACGTTCCTCGCGTGGTATACCTTGGCGAAGGTGCCATGGCCGAGGATCTTGCCGAGCTCGTAGCGGCCGAGGATGATGCTCGCCTGGCTATCCTTCGTCTTCGCCAGCGGCTCCGACGCCATTGCAGACTTATTGCTGGTCAATCAGGGTTGGAATGGGGTTATATAGAGGAGGGAAAATGGGCTTAGGGTTCATGGCTGGCTCCAGAGGAGGAGAAAGGGGTAGCGGCGGAAGGTAGGAAAGGGCAAGGAAACGTCGGGGATTTGACGGAGACGTTATGTGGGTTGGGATTGGACGGATGGGAAGAGGCAGGCCTTGAGCTCCGTCACCGTGAAGGCAGCCTTCCGTAACGTGACTGAACGATGACGGCGACTATGGGGTCAAACGCGCCGAGTTATGTCGACTTGTCTTCTTTAATAAACGTGACCAAAAAAAAATTTCGGCGTTTCTTTTTTATTTATGAAAAAAAATTATGACATAATATTTTAAATATTTTATGTCATAAGATTAATTGATATTCATTTAAATATAAATTTAAGAGTTTTTTTTATTTAGTTGCTACTTATTTTACTTAAAATATGTGTAGTCAAATGAAACTGAATGAAAAAAAAAAATTAATATATTTGGAATAGTGTAAGTTAAATAGTAACATTTATTTTTATTTACTTTGAAATAAAATAAATATAATATAAAATCTAATAATAATGGTGGTCAGTGGTGGGGGCGATAGAACTAGTAGAGTCATGGCATGGCAACTAGATGGCGTAAGTGACGGGTAGTTGGCAAGGGTGGTGTCGACTATAGTAGGCGATGGAGACAGCAAGTAGAAAGAATAAAATGAACTTACAGTTTATATGGAATTCAATCGAGAATGACCGAGTTTTATTTTACTCTTTATTTTTTTAATTAAATCAAATGCTAAAGTTTATAATTCTTATATTTGAAATACGTTGAACTCTCTTTTTAGCAATATAAAAAGCTCATTATTTTCTTATATCGCCAAATTACGACATCATTAAGACCTCCAAATGTCCAACGAAAGGTGCACGATTGAAGGGTTCAATATCGGCCGTCCATTCAAACCACTCCCTATTCGCCCCTGATCTCACACCTATTTACAAGTCATGCCACTCCAGAAAAACTATAAATAGAGCCATCATTCTTCACAAAGGGGGCTCAAGTGAATAGAGAGAAGAAGAAGAGAAGAAGAGAAAGGGGAAAAGGTGAATCCTCTCCTCCTCGACCACCGCCAGAGCTCTTCCCGCCGCCTAAATACACCACATCAATTATATTTATTTTAAATATATAAAATTCTTAAATTTTTTATAGATATTTAATAAAAACATTTCCATATAGTTTTAAAATATAAATTGAAGCAACCAGCTATATATTATCACTAATTGATGTGGGAAAAAATCAATTTACTATTGTATTTAAAGTTAAAGAAAAACTATATTTTATTATTTATTATACTAAAACATTAGTCTGTCGATATTCGCAGCTCACAGCCTCACATCAATGCAAACTTATTAGTTAGCACTTAGCTCCATGTGGTATATCGATAGCTGCAGAATTAGTCAGATTTAACATGCTAAGCATAGTATATTTATTTATTAAGAAAATATGTCTGAAAGTTACATTCAAATTAAAATCTCTAGAATTCAAAAAGACATTATAGTTGATATAAATGACATTTTGTGCAAGAGATTGATTGACCCCTCCGCTTAACATATTTTTTGTGGCGACTTGTTCTCAATACTACAGGAAAATCGTTCATTATCGACGAATTCTTCAGACAAAAATGAGTAATTTTCCTGCGGAAATAAGATATTCCGGTGGATTTTTTTCCACCGGTAAAAACCACGTAGGAAACATATACCGGCTGAATTTTTCAGCTGGGAATATTTTCGACAGCTTTCCGAAGACTTTTGGATAATTTACATAGTATTTCTGATGGTGGTCGGAGTAGCGGCTGACTCGTGAGTAATGATTTTGAGGACAAGTTTCCATTTCATTCTCTATATCTAGCTAGTCAGATGCTTATCATTAAAGGTTTGTGATATTATATAAATGATAAAGTATTCTTCTCCAACAATGTTATATGTTTATATTATGAATTCTAAACTTCAAAGAATATTAACTATGAGATTATTAGCTTTGAATCTTACTCAAAATTTATTTTGTAATTACTCTGGCTGTTTTTTGCTATTGTATACTTTATTGTTTAAGAAGCTTTAATCTTATTTGAATATTGAACGAAAGCCTTTTTTTTTTACCTAACAATTCAATTATTTTATAAAATTTTCAACAATATTTTATTTATTTATTATTAAAAAAATTTTGACATTTTTTTTAATAAGGTTTCTTTCGTTAATGTAAGGCCTTCCTCATAAAATCCTCATAGGTGAATTTATAATGACTTAGCATTGGTTAACGATAGAAAACTCAGAAGTATGTAGTGTCTTATACATGCACTATACTCGACTCTTTAGACCCATAGACTATATCAGCCCTAACTTGGCCCTTATGACATCCATGGCCATAAGAATATCTTAGACCTTCCTAAGCCAATTAGAACTTTTCTACCTATATTATGTCTATGGTAGTTGTAGTATAGATTATGAGAGTAGTAGAGGGAGGATGATGACATATGGAGGATGTCAGTTTGATATATAGCAATAATTGGACGATGATGGTTGGATGATGATGATGATCATATGGCGGTGATCGAGTAATGATGGTTGGACGACAATAATTTCATGATAAGCTTGGACGACAACATGCAGATGATTGTGGAATGGACTATGATAGCTGAGTGACAATGGTTAGAAAGTAACAGTCCAATGACATGGTGACTAGTGGTGATTTTTGGGGTTGAATGTCAGGTAGAGCATATTGTTCTTTAGATCTCCAAGCTCTCTCTAATCTCAAATTTAGATCTCTTTCATGTAGAAAATGATAGTCTATTTATTGGACAGTCTATTTGAATATAGACATGTAAAATGATAGTTTAGAAGTGACATTTTGATAACTTCAATCAAATTTATTATCAAACCATTGGACAGTCGTCTATATTGAATCATTTGATCATAAACCACTTACTCAACATTTAATTGTCTTAATCACTTTGAACTTAAATGATCTTAGGCTCTGTTGCGTCCTGGAATATTAGCGGCGGTAGAGAAATATATGGTTTAACGTCTTAGCATTGTACGAAGATCCAGCACACAAGCAAATAAGAGAGGGGGTGAAACATTCGTAAGAGGCACCAGAGTTTTTACGTGAAAAACCCCTGAAAAGGGGGAAAAACCACGGGGCCTGGCCTAGTTTGAATGAATCCACTTGTATTTGTAGTCGATTACAAATGAGGCCCTTCCTTTGGAGAAGGCATTGTATTGATGTAGCAAATATACATCATATAGATTGCATTACATGGTAGGAGTTACATATGCATGTTTGTTTGGTCGGAAGGACCGTAGTCGGCAGGAGACCGGGGTCAGAAAGATCGTTGTCCGGTGATGGAGGTCGGACGGACCGCAGTAGGCGACGGAGGTCGAAAGGTCCGTAGTCGGCAGGAAACCGGGGTCAGAAAGACCGTTGTCTGCTGATGGAGGTCGGAAGGACCACAGTAGGCGACAGAGGTCGAAAGGACCGTAGTTAGAAGGAGACCGGGGTCAGAAAGACTGTTGTCTGGTGATGGAGGTCGGAAGGACCACAGTAGGCGACGGAGGTCGAAAGAACCGTAGTCGGCAGGAGACCGGGGTCAGAAAGACCGTTGTTTATTGATGGAGGTCGGAAGGACCACAATAGGCGACGGAGGTCGAAAGGACCGTAGTCGGCAGTATTCTGGGAGAATTGTGGGCATCAGGTGGTGGCCTGGTGGAGCTCAAGGCCTAAAGTAGTGGTCCGGCGGAAGTCTGGGCTTCATGTGATGTTCTGGTGGAGCACATGGCCTTTGATGATGATCTGGCGAAGACAAGGGCCTCTGGAAAAGGTGAGGGCCTCTGGCGAAAATGAAGGCCGCTGGTAAAAGTGAGGGCCTCTGGTGAAGGTTAGGGCCTCAGATGAAGATGTCAGGCCTGAACGTCGGGCCTTAAGCAGAACGTTGGGCCTTCAGCAGAATGTAGGGCCTTCAGCAGAACGTTAGGCCTTCAGCAGAATGTCGGGCCTTCAGCAGAACGTCGGGCCTGAATGTCGGGCATTCAGTAGAACGTCGGGCCTGAACGTCGGGCTTGAACATCGTCGGGCCTTGAGATGGTGGTGCGGCGAAACTCCGGCGGTGGTCCGACGAGGCTCCTGCGGTGGTCCGGTGAGGTTCTGGCAGTGGTCGAGGAGGAGCTTCTTCCTTCTCTTCTTTCCCTTCTCCTCTTCTCTTCTTGCTTGGACCCCCTTTTTAAGAGAAATGAGGGGTCTATTTATAGATTTTCTGGAATTGCATGACCTGTAAATAGGTGAGAGATCAAGGGCAAATGGGGAGTGGTTGGATGGACGGTCGATATTGAACCCCTTGATCATAGACCGTTCGTCAGTCATTTGGAAGCCTTAATGATTTCGGAATTCAGTAATATTGGGCTCGTTGGATTCGTCTCGTTGAGCCGTTCGATTCGAGTATAAGCTCGTTAAAATCGGAGACCGTTTGGTAACTCAAATTGTGGTTTGAACCTTCCAACAGCGCTTCGGGTCCTTGATTTGGGCTCATTCAGGCTCGAATTGAGTCGAATTTGGTGTCGTTGGGTTTGTATTTCCAAGACGCTCAGTTCGACTATAAGTTTGCTGTAATCGGAGTTAAGATGGTCTCCAAATTAATTTTTGAAGTTTCCAACTTGATTTTGTCTCGAGATATGTGCCAGCTCAAGATAATTTTTTGGAGGATGTATCAGTTACACAAGCGGATAAGAGAGGGGGTGAAACATTCGTACAATGCTAAGACGTTAAACCATATATTTCTCTACCGCCGCGAATATTCCAGGACGCAACAGGCTCATTGGATTAAATTCGTCACATTAGTCTATTTGAATATAGACATGTAAGATTTAGAGCTAGTTTAATCTTAAAATTACAAAATTTTCAATCACTTCAAATATTTGATATGGGCTCATTTGCATTTGGATCAAACCACCTTTAGTACTATTGTGTTCTTCTTGCCGAGAAGTTCAATTTAATTATAATATTGCTAAAATAGAATTCAAATAATTCTAATTTTAATTTTAAAAAATTTAATGAAAAAATAAGAAAAATACATCAATTGGGATTCATATCCATTATATTATATATAAATATATCTTTATCACGGTCGGCATCATTTAAAAGATATTTTTTTTGTTATAGATCTTTTAAATGATGCGGACCGTGATAAAAATATAATGTGCGTTGTCCGGTTCAAAAAATTTTTTTGGTAGGGGTTCAAATTATATATTTATTTATTTATTCGAAAGTGGTTCAAATTTGATTATTCACAAGCACTCTTAAATTTATAAAAAGTTACCCGATTGAGACCTCTTAGATTATAATATATCGATATATGATCAAATAATAAGTGGAGAAAGTTTTATTATTATTATTATTAGTATTATGAGATATTTAGGTTAATTAAAGTAAATTCACACACATCAAAGACTTAAATTCAAAACCTCTTAAATTGGTATGCAGCTGGCTGGGTTGATGGACGAGCATGATTAAGAACCCCCTGACCAATGTTCGATTCCTCTCTCATGCGTGCGACCCGATAAACTAATTGTGGGTCTGCACCTATGAGACTGGTTGATGGTAGGCCCGCCGAAGGATTAGATAAGTCGACATGCGCCTGCTAAAAAAATGGTAGCGACTAAATACCCATTGAAAAAATAATGGTACGTAAGACTCCAACCAACAAGTGGAGACAGTAAGTTAAATACTAAAAAGACAAGACCCTTATGTCATTGTTAGTGTGCAATATTTGTCTAAAATGAGTTCGTCGTCATTATAATTTATTTTATATTTAAATATTTTATTTACTCGATATATTTTTTATGATTCTAATTGAGAAAAAAAAATATAAATCAATATTTATTTTATTTTTTAATGTTATTTATGTGATTACGATTCCAGTTTTCATTTTAAATCTAATTTAGGGTTTATTTAGAATAACTTTCTAGCTGTTTTGTTCAGTAATTATAATTTCTTTTGACTATTATTTTATTCCTTCTTTTTCATTATTTTTCAGAATTTTCTATTGTATAAAGCTGCTTTGTGCAACTATAATAGCAAAATTATTTTCTCTAAGGTTTCGTTTGAAATTCTATTGTATAAAGCTGCTTTGTGCAATAATAATAGCAAAATTATTTTCTCTAAGGTTTCGTTTGAAGCGGTTTTTTTATTGCTTCATAAAACAGTTTTATATCGCAAATTATACATAAAAAAGATTAATAAAAAATAACTTTATTTAAATCAAATACAAAATTCTTAATTTATAAAAAAAAATTATATCGCAAATTACACATAAAAAAGATTAATAAAAAATAACTTTTTTTAAATCAAATAAAATTTCTTAATTTATAAAAAAAAAATATCAAACACAAACTTTTAAATAACATAAGCCCCTGAGTAAGATAAACTCTCTTATAAAATAATACAAAAGAATTTTGATTAATATAAATATTTTCATACGGCAGAAATTAAATGATTAATCTATTACATCATTTTAAATTTTTTTGCAAATAAATCATATGAAATGTTAATGATACTTTTTTTAAATGTATTATTTAATCAAGTAAAAAAATCAATAGTCACCACAATAACGTATATATAATTTTTTTTTAAAGCTAAGATCAAACTTCCTTTTAAATTAGAGACCTTTCATATTTTTGGTCGCTAAAGCCCGCAAAATTATTCCGTCAGGTTACCTGACGTAGAGCTACATCAGGTAGCCTATAATATGTCGCAACGTGTACTTACTCTTTACCGTGCAGCCCGACGACCCGACCCGGAACGGACCCGAGAGTTTGCGTAGCTCGGTATTGCTAGGTATTGGTCGATTTTGCTCGATAAAAATGAAAAATACTATTATGTGAAGACCAAAACCGAGCAATGCCGAGCAATACCGAGCAATACTGAGCAATACCGAGTTCTTTTAGGTATTGCTCGGTATTGGTCTTCACATAGCGGTATTTCTCGTTATTGTCAAGCAATACCGAGTAATACCTAGCAATACCGAGCAAATACCGAGCAATACACGAACATAGTAATCTCGGATTCGGTTCGAGTCGGGTCGTCGGGCCACGCAGTAAAGAGTAAGTGCACGTGGCGACATATTATATGCTACCTGATGTAGCTCTACATCAAGTAACCTGACGGAATAATTTTCATCTTCATGCGAACAATGCTATTGCTATTCAAATAGATAATAATTCTATTTTTCAAGAGCTCACAAAGTACATGGAAGTAGATTGTAATTTGATTCAAAAAGTATTTGACACTGATATAATTTTCCTTCTTTATTTCTACTGACCATCATATTGCATATATCTTTTCAAAGATTTATTACATTTCAGTTTCATCAATTACTTAATAAGCAAATTGATTAGCCTTGATCAACTAATATCAATTCGAGGGGGATAATAAGTAGATGTGACACATTGTCAATATTTGACTCCATAGGGCATCTCCAACCAAACTCCAAATGCTTGAATGGCGTCGCTCGCGAGCTCCAACCGAACGATAAAACTTTCGTTATTTGGTTGCGGGTGAACAATGGGACATCAATATTGGCGTTGCATTGTTCCTCTACGTCATTTTTTCTGTCTTTACTGAACTTGCCGAAGAAACGTGCGAAAGAAGTGAATGACCGTTACCTCTGCAAAAGGGGGGAAAATGGAGTTCCATTGGAGATGAATCATGACATTTTTTAGTTTCACGACATTTTGGAGTGAAAAATGAGATTTTTGATTGGAGATGCCCTTAGTCATGAATCTCCATATATAGTTAAACAAAATATGAACCTCATAATACCAAAAGTCGTCCACTCTAAATCCGAAAAAGGCTAGATCAAGCACTTTGAGGAGTGATTGGAAACTTTAGGATATTAATTGAATGGTCAAAAGATCTCTAAATATCGCAAGTTTATAGTCAAATCGAGCATACTGATGAGACAAATCTAACTATCTCCAAATCTTCTAATTCCAACATCATTTAGGCAACTAAATATTAAAAGAACGATCTAGAATTGAGAGAATAAATATGTGTCATCAAATGGAGTGTCCATATTAAGGCCATTTAATTAATGGTTTTTAAACTTTTGTCAAACACTTTCTTATATTTTTTAGGAGAATTGTAACATTTGTGTGCAAGGGAATCAAGGCTTTATAAAGGGAAAAATTATTTTGTGTGGATGCCGAACGTCGTTCGGGGACCAACCAAAATTTCACAGTTCGAGCATTCCAGCGGTGGTCGAGGAGGAGCTTCTTCCTTCTCCTCCTTCTTCTCTTCTTCTTCTCTCTCTTCACTTGAGTCCCCTTCGTGTAGAATGAGGGCTCAATTTATAGTTTTTCTGGAGTGGCATAGCTCGTAAATAGGTGTGAGATCGTGGACGAATAGAGAGTGGCTTGAATGGACAGCTGATGTTAAACCCTTCAATCGTGCATCGTTCATTGAACATTTAGAGGCCTTAATGATGTCGGAATTTGGTGATCTTAGGCTCGTTGGATTCGTATTGTCGAGCCGTTCGATTCGAGTATAAGCTCGTCAAAATCGGAGACCGTTTGGTAACTCAAATTGCGGTTTGAACCTTCCAACAGCACTTTGAGCCCTTGATTCAGACTCATTTGGGCTCGGATTGGGTTGATCTTGGTGTCGTTGTGTTCGTATTTCCGAGACGCTCAGTTTGACTATAAGCTCGCTGAAATCGGAGTTCGGGTGCTCCCAAAAATTAATTTTTGAAATTTCCAATTAGCTTTTGCCTCAAGATTCGTGCCCGATCAAGCTAATTTTATGATGACGTATCAATTATAATAATTATTTAAATTATAATTATTTTCTATATTTCATAATAAATGAGATGACTCAAATTTATAAAATAAGGTTTGAGCTGGAGATCGAGCTTCAATTTAATTAATTAATGAAGATGGAGCTCCAGTCCTGACTCAAAGCTCGACTTCGACTCCACTCGTTGAATGGAGCTCAACTTGTTTAAACCCCTACGGGCCCCAGGATAGGAAGAGACCGCGAGAAAAGGGTCCCGGGTCTCCGGCTAGCAACGATGGCGGCGGGAGCAGAGGGAATAACCCTCCTTTCCTTGTATGGGGATGACGAGGAGGATGAAGAAGCTTTCGACGCACCGTCGGCAGGTGGCGGCGCTGGCGAAGAAGCGAACGAGATATCGAGTGATGAAAACATCAGAAGCGGCCGCCTGCCGTTTCCAGTTCGCGATAATACCCCATTACTTACCCCTACTTCTCTGACTTGTGCTAAGGGCGGCGTCAATTCCAAAACACCAATGAATCCCTTGCCGCTGCCGATTCTTTCGTTGCAGCAGCGGTTTTCTAGATCCCAGCCATCTTCTCTTGTTAGCTCGGTTTCTCTCTCACCTCCCTCGGCTCCTGTCCCTCCTTTTTCAACGCAGGAGCCTGTGGTTAGTCGGAGAGTGAGTCGAGGTGCACTAACTATAGTGGATTACGCCCATGATGAGGCCGCTATGTCTCCTGAAATCGAGGCAATTAGTTTTCTATATTTTTTAACATCAATTTCTTTGTTAGGGTTCTTTATGCCTGACTTTCATATTTCTGCTACCTTTCTGGATTTAGTAATAGAATGCAGGATTTCGTGTTCTTGATCTTTTTTCTGAAAGCATGCTTATTACGTGATTTTGGCAGGAGGAAGAGATAGATGAGGGTTGTTATATTGCTATTGGGACGGAGCTTCAAGGTCCAGATGGTAAACTGTCATAATTTCAAAGTTGGTAAACTGTTATCGGGTGGTGGTTTCTAATGCTCCAAGAAGGCACTTTTTTTTATATGAGCATATTTCTTGTGTTTGCCTCTGGGTATTTTTTAGGCATCAATGTGCTTTGTGACATTCTATGCTAGTTCTGAAAACTGGCTCGCTTCCTGTTGCGTTTACTGTGCATGTATTTTTTGATGTTCTGTTTTATTTGAAGGAAGTAAAAGAGAGGAGATGATATTGAAATGGCAATGAAAATTTTTAAAGAATTTAATTAAGATTTCCACTCTTTTGTGGAAATTGTGTAAACAAAAAATTCTTTTTTGTTTTCTTTTAAGGATTAACCAATAAATTGTAGAATGAACATAACCTAATGTTATTCATGCTTTAAATAATAATAATAATAATAATGTTATTCATGCTTCAATTTTACTACAGATTTTCACTGGGTTTAAGTAGAGAATCATAAAGAGAATTAAGCATTTCCTCTAATTTAAGTAGAGAATCATAAGGAGAATTAAGCATACCCTCTAATTTTGTAGGTAAAACTAAGTTCCTATCCCAAACAAAATAGTCAAACAATATTTCATTTTCCCATAATATTTCAAAATCAAACACGGCCTAAAATATTAAGAACTAGATTAGTAGCACGCAATTTATTTTTGGATGGGGAGAAAATATGAGAAGATGATGCTCCTTTGAGAATTCTGCAACTAAAAGACTTTGTAGGTGGTAGATTTGTTTGTAGAGTGCCCAAAAAGATCTTGTTGATTAGTTGTTCTCAGGCTAAATACTAAAGAGAAATACTTTTCTAAATTCTTTCACCTTCTAAATCTCTTTATCCATTTTTTTAAAGCTGGGAAGATATGAAATATTTAATTACTCTAAATCAGTTTATTATATGCCATGAAAGTTTCAGTAATTGTTGTAGGTACTTATGCTATTTGATATCATGAGATACACATTATTTAAACATTTTTTTTATTCCTTGACACACTTGGTAGGCATTTTTGTGCTTGCACAGATGAAAATAGTCTGATTTGTTTCCTCTTTGATGATAGCATTGTATAACATTGGGTTCCATTAGGCATGGTCAGCTAGCTGTGATAGTATTACAGAGAACAAATGTAAAAAAAGAGTGGATGGATATGGAATCATTCTTAAGGTTATACACGTTTCTTTATATTTGATATGACCTGAAACAACTCTCAATTAAAACTGAATGTTTGATCATGGACATCACTTTTCTTGCTCAATAGATTTATGTGCAATGAGGTTTAGATTAGTCAAATATCATTCCAGCTCTCACCCCATTTGACTATGCCAATTTTCTTTTAGATTCACCTATCCTTTATTTTGTCAAATCTCTTTAGTTCCAATCTCGATGCTCCACATATAATCTAACCATCCTATTTGAGTCACCATCGACGATTATCTCATAGTCATCATCATAGTTCCAATCATCTAAATCAAATCTTACTATGCACTAATCTCTAATATATTAGAAGAAATTAATCCTTACTAGGGGCATGATGATCTTAGATGCAACATAGCTTTATTGAGATATTAAAAATACCCTTCATCCTAGACCTTATAAATAATATACTAGGTTAATCTAAGGGTATCCTTTCCTCTCTTGTGTTCATTCCAAGGGGTAAGTCTATTGAATTGATTTCAATTCTTCTTTACCTTCAAGCTTGCTAGTGACTTCATGATGTAGAACGGAATTGATAGCAGCCACCCAAAGAAAGAAGTTATCCAAGGTTCCTGTGGTGGTTTGAGGGCTTGAGAGGAAATAGATATCGAGTGGTGGCTCCTTGGGTGTCTGGATAACAACACATTTCATTCTCGAACCTTTGGACATCAAATAGAAAATTTGGGACAGCAATTTCAGAAAGTTCTGGATGGCAACGGTGGCTTCTGAGGACGTTGGACAGCAAGAGGGCCACTCTGACTTTGCAGGACAACTGTCTCCTAGCGTTAGGAGGGCTGGAATAGCAAAGGTCCTGGTTGGAAAATTTCTGGCCAGCAAGAACCTTGGTTGGAATTTTCTGGATAGCAAAATCTAGACTGGAACTTCATGGATAGCAGCAAAATTATGGCAGCAAACTTGGGGTGCAGGAAACACCAAACCGGGTGAAGAGTAGGAGGAATTGGGAGAAGATAATCCTAGCAAAGCTGCTGGGTAGGAGGCGGTCAGGTAAGGCTAGGATTTGGGATTATTTCCACTTGACGGGGCTGATTTTGTGGCCAAATTAATGAGGTTTGAATTGTTTCGTAAGTGGAGATTTTGGGATTTAGGAAACAATTTCCTAATCCCACCCTAGAGGGGCCGGCGGCAATCAAGCATGGGGAGGATTGATGAGGTGGATTGATAGCTTCTTAATTTGGGTATTGGGAATAGGAAAGGTTTTAATTAAATCCTTTTTGAATTTCAAATTCAAATTGAACTTAATTCAAGAACTTTCCTAAAATAGGTTTCATTAAATTAGGAAATAAATTTATAAATTCAAATTGCTTTGAAATTTGAAAATTAAATCTTACCAATTTAAGAGTGGACACTTATGGAAATGATTTAATGTGTGATTTGAATTTTGGAGGGAGAAGATAGGAGAGAGGAGGGTCGGCCATATGGGGAGTGGACATGGGTGTCTTGGTTTAATGTATGTGGGTCATATGCATTAATTTGGGGATTGGAATTAAATCTGAATTTAATTTCAAATTTAATGTAATTGGGAGGTTTTTTAATTATGGATTATCAAAAAGGAAAGCCTTTGAAATTCAAATAAAGAATTGATTTCAAATAAATATACTTTCCAAATTGATATGAGCTATTTTAGGAAGGTAATAAAAGGGAGGTTTGAATTTTGAAATTCAAAATTCATGGAGGGAGTTTGGAAGGGCCGGTCGGCGGTTTGGGACCAATGGGAGGCCGACGGCTATGGCTTGGCTAGGTGGTGGTGGAGCTAGGGCCGGTTTGGTGGAAGTAGGGAGAGAATGAAGATGATGACTAGGAACAACAAGAATGAACAAAAACAAAAGATAAAAGATAAAACCATGAGCCTTGGATTCTTCCGAAAACTGACGGGTGATACGTTGCCATTCTCCAAGGGACTTCACGCCACGAGCCCGGACCCATCCTGCTGCTGGTGGAAACTCCACTTCCCTCCCATAGGAATCTCACTCAAGTTCTCTCCAAAGAACACATGTGCAAACAAAATTTTATTAATAATCCATCCTTGATCTCATACAAGAGCAAGAGCCTCTATATATAAGCCTTAAAAGAAAATGAAAAGACAATTTTGCTCCTTGGGCTTACATAAGACAATACCCTTAAATAAAGGTAAAATGAAAATTACAAATAAGCCATCCTTGATCTTGAACTCCTCATCGGATAGTCATGGACGGTTGGATGTCCACATCACTTCAACATTAGAGATCATTCCTAGACGTTTCAACTGGTAAGTGGGGTGTTCATGTTTTATATTTTCGTTGCGTGTCTTTAAAGGAGCTCAAGCTGAAGCCGTAATCCTATGAGAGCCTCAGGCATCGTCAATAGTTGTTTGACGTACAATGATATTTCACTACTTGAGAAGCCATTCTAACATCACGAACAAACATAACTCATATCAATCAATGTCCATCTTTGTGAGGTTTATGAGTCTACCCTCTCTTCTTATAAGGAATGTCCCATTGAGAAGGGGTTTGGCCTAGATCATCTTCTTTTCATGAGGAAAGTCCCAAGGAGAATGCCCTAATTGTTCCATTAGGAAGCAATTGAAGAATAATTTACCCAAGTTTCCCTTTTATAAGGACTTCCCAAAAACCAAACATCTTAGCATCCCATTAGAAAGTGGTTGAAGAGTCTTCCACACAAATCATGTTCCTTAAAAAAATAAGTCTCAAGGAAGATACCTTTTCATCCCATCATTTAGTGGTTAAAGAGGCTTCGACCCAAGCCATCTTTATATGGGAATAGTCATTAAGAGGACACTTTAGCATCTTAATTTGTAGCAATCAAAGTGGGTTTGTGCTTGTTCACCTCCTCGTAATGACAAAATCTCAAAGAGGACATCATAATGTCTAATTGAAAAGTGGTTGAAGAGGGTTTGATGTAAATCATTGTCCTATAAAGACAATCAATTGAAAAGTGGTTGAAGAGGGTTTAATGTAAATCGTTGTCCTATAAAAACAATTGAGAACTAGTTGAAGAAGGTTTAACTTAAACCATTGCCTTATAAAGACAACCCCAGAGGGACACCATATACCCCATTGGGCAAAAATTAAAGAGGGTTTGACCATATTGCTTACTCGTAATGACAATTCAAATGAGGACACCTTAGCATTTCATCAAGAGGTGGATTCGACCTTGAGCACCTTTTGATAAGGACAAGTTCTAGAGAGTCCTAGAGAACTCTTTGCTTATCAAGAATTGATTGAGGAGGGTTTGTTCCATTTTATCTTCTCGTAAGGACAATCTTAAAGAGGTCTTACTAATGTCTTATTAGGAAACAGTTGAAGAGGATTTGACCTAGACAAACAACATGTGAGGAGAATCCTAATAGGGGGAACCTTATGGTCCTATCAAAAGTGGTTGAAGAGGGTATTACCCAGGGCACAACCCATGGCACATTCTTAGAATGAATGCTATACATCATAGCAAGCATCATAAATAAGAAGCCTCCATGCTAGATCATTCAAATTTTGCATTGATTGCAAATGTGGCTTAAGTCTATACAACATTCCTAAGTGGTTTTAAGTCTAAGAAGCTCTGGCCTACATTAATCATTCTTCAATGCTCAAAAGAGGAGAAGTAAAACTTCTAAAAATACAAATTTCATAACTTAAAGTGAGCATTCAAATTGAGTTTCTCGTACAACTCCATTGAAACCTTTCTGTGATGGAGTAGATCAAAATATGACCCCTCTGTAGGCCAACCTTCAAAGTTTTTCTTCTTAGAGACAACCTTTTTGAGGCTCCTAGGTTGTATATTA